GACGGAGGCGCCCGTCGCCTCGGTGCGCGCGGCCACCGCCGACGCCTCCCTCTTCCACGTCTCCCTCGACCTCTCCGCCCACGGGCCACTCCTCGCCTCCCACGTCGCCGCCGGCCAGTTCCTCCCCTTCCGCCTCCCCTCCGCGCCCTACCCCATCTTCCTCGCCATCTCCTCCCCTCCCCCGGCCTCCTCGTCCTCGGGGTCCTCGCCCAAATCGTTCGATTTCCTCGTCAAGCGCCTCCCCGGCACCCCCTCCGCGCGCCTCTGCGACCTCCAGCCCGGCGACCTCGTCCCCGTCGGCGGCAGCGTCGTCGGCCGCGGGTTCGAGGTCTGCAGGATCGCCGACGCCCGCGACGTCCTCGTCTTCGCCACCGGATCCGGGATCAGGTGCCTAACTGCCCCTCTGCTTCTGTACAATCCTTCACTTGTTTCTTACGCATCCATGATATTTGTCAAACCTGCGTCAATTGTATTATAGATGCATCACAATTGTTCAATCTTAGAGCCAATTATCTAGATATTTTCGATCGAAGGGCCACACAGCCCCCATTTTCATTAAGAAAATGGACCACGAACAGAGTAACACAGCATTACAAAGAGCCCCCAACATCGATGCAAACACACGCAACAGGGAAGGAAAACGACCTGCATTTCCGGACATCTGTACCACATTTAAGGAATGCAACACCGCACTACATTAGAACAGCAATCTGGCAAAACACCTACAGATCATATGCAAAAACTAGATCACATCCAGGCAACAAAGACTTGGTCCCCAGCCATGGCAATGATATACTCCCTCCGTCTCAAAATTCTTGTCTTAGATTAGTCTAGATACGGATGTATCTAATACTAAAACTTGACTTGATACACCCGTATTTAGACAAATCTAAGACAAGAATTTTGGGACTGAGGAATAGATAGCAAACCGCTCTAGTACAATGTTTCATCAGGTTTTTCCCATTTTTGCTTTAAATACAACGATTGAGTTGCTTGGTAACCACACAATCTGTTTTAGACTACCACATTCCACATGCCATGTGGTTGATGGGTGATGATGACCTTCTCCTTGATTTTATTGTTCTTTCATTTCGATTGGATGAGCATCCATGAATAGTAGTATCTATTTTGTTGAGTTGGATTGTCAGTACATCTCAAATTCTGCACTCTACATATATTGCATCCACACACTGATCCACCCTTGGTTTAAGCAAACGTTATTGCCATCTCAAATTTATAAGTGATGTGGAAAGTGCATTTTGAGAAGATAGATTTCTTTGTAGTGTCTAAGTCTGCTCATATTATCTTCTTTTTCACATTTATGTGTGGCAGTCCAATCCGGTCACTCATTGAGTCAGGTTTTGGCGAAAATGAGAAGATTGATGTAAACCTCTTTTATGGGGTTAGAAACCTTCAAAGGATGGCTTATCAGGTAGATGTCAGTCTAAAGTTATATTTTATAAGTACAACCTTCTTTATGTAATGGCTGGAGACTCTGCTCTGACAGGAAAGGTTCAGTGACTGGGAATCGAGAGGAATAAAAATTATACCTGTTCTCTCTAGACCAGATGATCAATGGACTGGCCAGCGAGGCTATGTTCAGGTACCGCTATCATTTTTCCTTTTCGGTTCTTCTTAGCTCACCAGGTTCCCTTATACCCTTATTTATTTTGCATTTTCAGAATGCCTTTTCAAGGGCAAAGAAGGTTATAAATCCATCATCGACGGGAGCAATTTTGTGTGGACATAAACAGATGACTGAGGTATATATTCTCATTTCTAACTTTTGTAGCTAATGATACAGGTTGCCATATCCATCTCCGTTCACGTGTCTCAATGCTTTCTATACGTTAGATGCTGCATATGTTCTGTTATTTTAGACATCCGTACATCAGAAACATACCCTTCTGGCAAATCCATCGTCAGTTTAAACTTTCTCAAGATGAAACTACTTATAAAATAGACACCAGTGTGCAATTGGCTTTTGTGGGCCATACCATTACTGCTCTGGATTTGTTGTTAATACTCTATGTTTGAGGCCACATTTATAGGCTAACAGAGTACCAATACAAGAAATTTGCTGCCCAGACCTAGCAATTGGCTGTACAAATAGAGTAAGAATTGAAGAAAGCTTTGAAACAGAAACCTATATTAATGGTGATTGTTATCATTTAAGAGTGCTAATCCATTTGCCTACTTCTAAAATTGGTGGCTTGTTTCTGTACTCATAGTCTGATCATTCATCTATCTTAATATTTGCAGGAAATTACTAGAGCTCTTGTTGCTGATGGTATGTGCAAAGATAAAATCTTAACAAACTTCTGAGTTCCACTGGAACACGTTTCTTGCCCTTCTGGCTGTTGTACACTTACTACCAAAATCTAGTGGCACTTGTTTACGGCAAATGTGCGACATAGGATCGCGAAAAAGATACTGCTACGTACTAACAAATAAGGGCAACTCATTTTCCTTCACGCTGCGAGTTGCCCATCAACCATTGGATGTTGATATCCTGATATATTAATCTCAAGCAAGAAGGGCTTTGGAAAATGCTTGGTGGTACCCTGAGACAGTATTTCCCTGGAAGGTGCTGATGTACTTGAAAAGCCCCCTTCCAGAAAAGGGGAAACAAAAGGGGACATAGCTTGTAAGTTAGTAAAACCATTTTTTAGTTTGTATGCCTTTAGATATAATCGGTTGCAAGTATTTGCGCCGTGAAATTTTGGTA